TGTGATGTGGGGTGTGGGAGGTGTGGTGTGGTGTGTGTGCGTGCACACGTGTACAAAAGGCCTTGCGTGCTCAGATGTGACAGTCTATGCTCTTACTTGAAATCATGAACAAATCTGAAGAACCTCACAGCGTCCGGCATAGTATTTAGTCAGTGAGTGCCTGTCAGACTCATTCCCTAGCGCCTCACATGCGAGTATGCATACATCCGTGTGGGTATACATTTGTGTGTTGTACACGCATGCACTGGGGGCGACCTCTTCAGTCTCTTCTCTGCTGTGTCGTGGAGACCGTGCCGCATGGCAGACCGGGAGCTCACCACCTGCCCGACGGGGTGGCCGGTGAGTTCCAGCCGCCAGGCCCTGTCCACCCCAGCCCCGCTTCCCAGCACCGGGCTGCAGACTTGCACACCGTGCCCAGCCTCTACCGTGGTGCTGTGGCTCCGGACCCAGGTCCTCTGGCTCACAGAACTCCTCCTCCTCCCCAGCCTCTGCTCACTAACTTCAAAACCAGTGTCTACAAAGCAGCTTGCATGTTTGCTTTTGGAAACTCGGCCTGAAATTGTGCTTCCAGATGAAAAAAAAAGGAAGAGCACATGGCGCGTATACTGTGGCAGACAGCGCCAGCGCTGCCCATACTCTCGTCACCCTCATCATTGGCACGTACTGCTGTGACTGACCTCCAAAAACCACACATGTCCTGCTTTTCCCCAGAACATCCTTGGCTTCCAAAGTTAAGGCCTGGGGCCGCCACCTCCCACCGAACGCCAGCAGTTGGTGAGTGTCGGCTCCTGGCCCAGGCGAACTCAGGAGTGCGCTGCTCTGGCCCCACAGCTGCCTAGTAACGTTCAGCTCTGCTGGCCCTGCCTGGAGACAGAGAAGCACCCTCCGGCAGCCTTGGCTTCCTGGCTCTGTCTGCTCCCCACCTGGCTCTTCCTGAGCTCATATTGCAAAGAAACGTTTTCCATTCAGATGCTGGCTTGGGGGGAGGGGGAACCTGGTTATGCCAGCAGAAGCCTCGCTCAGTCCCCAGAGCCTCCACAGAAGGCCAGGCAGAGGCAGGCGACTCCCCGAGGCTTGGTGGCCAGTCAGGCCAGCCTAATTGGTAAACTCCAAGCCAATGAGAGGCCCTGCCCTAAAACCAGGTGGACAGCACCTGAACAACAATGGCGACATTGCCCATTGGAGACCTCAATGCGTGGTCTCCACACGCATGCATACACACACACACCAAGGCACACACATGAGCAACTGCAGGCACCTCAATATTCACACATTTACTTCAGGATTGGCTTTTTTTAATACACAGTTTTGCTCTTTGCTTGTATGTAACTCATTTATTTTTATCTTATGTGCATTGTTTTTTTTTTTTTTTTTTTTTTTTCCTGTATATATGTCTGTGTAAGTACATCAGAACTCTTGGAACTGGAGTATCAGACAGTTGTACGCTGCCACGTGGGTGCTGGGAATACAGCCCGTGTCCTCTGGAAAAGCAGTCAATGTTCTTAAAGGCTGAGCCATCTCTCCAGCCCCAGGAACGGCTTTTAAGGGTTCCCCAAACTTAGAACACTCTCATCAATTCATATTTGCACAGCCACATGAGCATGCGCTTGTGCTTAGAATGGAATGAACAACCCACTGTCATCACAAGCTGTTTGTCTGTGTGAAACCCAGACAGCATCTGAGATTTAATGAATCTATGCAGCAGGCTGAATCCAGTGTGGTGGACCAAGCCTATAACCCCTGCGCTTCGGGGGCTGAGGCACGTGGGTCAAAAGCTCAGGGACAGACTGTGCTCCACAGAGAGGTCCTGTCCCAAAAGCCAGCAATAAGTGAAGGATACTGAGGAGCGAGTCCCTTCCTAAAAGAGGGCAGTGTGGCAACCATTAAGAGGGCATCCTGCCCTCAGCATGGCTGGCCCGAGGCCCTAGTAATCACGCAGGAATATGGTGTGAGCAAAAGAGAAAAGAAAAGCATTTCAATGAAAGTCACTGGCAATGCCAGACAGGTTAACTACGATCTAATCCAAATAGGAACTCATCTCAAAGCACTTCCCCTCCACCGGCCCCGGGACCCTCTTCCTTCGAGCCTGGCGTTTCAGGAGCCCTTCTCTTCCAGTTTCCTGTTGGCCTTTGTCTTCCCAATCACAGTCTCTACAATTACAGATGTCTCTTCATATGTCTGAATACTCTCTGTTGAGATCTTCTCAATGGATTCTACCACCTCTACCTTCTTAAAAGCTAAAGCCTTCGAAGGGCTTTTCGGCAGCAGGCTGCTGCTCTTACTCCCAGGCCCCTCAGGTCCATCCTGACTAGATCCAGACATTTGTGACTGGGATGTGTCTGACCCGTCAGGACCAGGTATGATCACAGGACAGGGTCTCCTGGACCCCTCCTCTTCCTTCTTGCCATCGTCATCTTTTTCCTCCGGGGCTTTTGATTCTTTAGCCCTTATCCCGTTCTTGTCTGTTGTCTTCTGATGGTTTGAGAGGTCCCCTTCCATACTCCGGGGAGCCCCCTGTCCATTCTCCACGGGTGGCGTGGGCGGCCCAGGAGAGGGCTCCACATGGCCATCATGATGCAGAGAGTCTTCCTGGATGGAAACCATCACTCCGCCTCTAGCTGGGATGGAGGAGGAGTGGAAAGCAGGGTCCACAAAGCTGGCATCCCCTGTGACCAGTATATGCCGCCCTTTGGTGAAGAGGTCAGAGGGCGGCTCCGGCACAGGCTCTTTGTGGCCACTTATTTTCTCTTTGACGACTTTGCATAGCTTCCCGAAGGCTTTGCTTATCTGGCTCCCATCTGGCACATCCTCAGGACCCCCTTCTTGGGCTGGACTTACTCTCTGTGCCCCTGCTCGTCCCAGCTGAGAGTCCCCATCCGCCTTAGGCTCTGCCAGCACTGCCTTTGGCTCTGGCAGAGTTTTTAACGATGCTCCTTCCTGAGTTTCGTCCACTTTGTCTTGAGCTATAATCTCCTTTCTTTTGGGAAGGCTCTTGGGGAGGACCTTCTGTCTTGGCTTAGCTGCTGTGATGTCCTGCACAGCCCTGGTGAGATCTAAGGAAAAACACACAGGCGGTAAGCCAAACATGGACATCAGTGAGAGGGAATGGCCACTTTCACAGCAAAGCATAACAACTGTATTGAAGGCCACTGTCCAGCAACAGGCTGAGCCAAATACAATGGGAAAGAGCCCTAGCTCTGTCATCCACGGCTGAGGACCCAGATCAACCAGCTGAGAAATTCTGCATGTGTCACAGTATCACTCTGAATTTCCCCAAAGGGAAGGAAAGCTGCCATTTTTCCTGGCACGCCCAGGTCAGCTCAGCTGGAAGATCACAGAGTGACACATGGCACTGGACGGAGACTCCCGGCTGGGACCCTCCAGTCACAGCTCAAGCCCAGACACACTCGCCGCAGGGAACTAGATCCCAGTACACAGCGGGTCCCACTCCCTGTGGCCACTTCCCAATCTCCCCCCAAAGACGCACACAGCAAGGTTGCTGGGCCTGTGACAGGTTCTGGTGGCTTCAGGCTTGGAAACAGCATCTACCTACAGTGTCCCAACAACCTACTTGTGACTATCCCTTGACCGCCATTGTCTTCAGTTGGGGCTGAAAGAGGAATCAATGCTATTATAGTCATAAACAAATGTGCACCTGTATCTCTTCTCCAGTTGAGTGTCTGTGCTGAGGCTGGTGTTCCTGGGGGCTCTATCCCCAGGCACTTTCCTCCTTATAAACTTCTTGGCTCAGGTACAAATTCTATTCAAGGGAACATACCAAAGAGCGAGGGAAGGCAATCTCCCTCACATAAAAGCAGTTTCTGGGCTAGGGAAATGCCTCAGTCTGTAAAATGTTGGTTGCACACCCATGAGGAACTGAGTTCACTTCCCAGAATCCATCAGAGGAGGGAAAAAGAGAGAAAGAGAGGTGTGGTGATATGGAGACAGAGGCAGGAGGATGGGGGCGGGACAAACAGCTCAGTTCAGTAGATAAGTTCCAGGCCAATAAGAGGCCATGTCTAAACAGACGGACAGACAGACAGAGATAATGGCAGTGCACACCATTAATCCCAGCACTCAAAAGGCAGAGTGTGGACGGCAGACCTCCACAGAGTTTGAGGCCAACCTGGTCTACACTGCAAGTTCCAGGTCAGGCAGAGCTACATAGTGAAACCCTGTCACAGAAACAAGGCAAAACCAAACAGAGGGAGATGCACACACACCTACACACACCGAATTTCCAGAGGAGTTGGAGGGGAGCACGGATGGCAGGCAGGAGGAAGTCAGTGGGCTTTGCCTGAAGAAGGAAGCAGAGCAAGCCAGGGCTGGAAGTCAGAGGCCAGGCTTCGGAGTGTTACCTTTTGCACTGGATCCAAGGCTGAGAGAGGCCCCATGGCTCGGGGTGATCAGAGAGATGGGAGTCTCAACGAAAGCGGAGCTCAACCTGGCAGGAAGAACCAGAAAGAATGTGGGACCATCTTAAGTCATCAGATGAAATGAGGTAAGAGACGAGAGAGAGAGAGAAACACTTTCTCTGGATGAAAGTGTGCATGAATTGTGCATCACAAAATATTAACCACATAGACATTTGCACACTGGGCAAGGACAGAGAAGACAGCTCACTTCTTTGGGCTCAAGTCATGACCTATGAAAAGGCTGTGGGCAATGCACAGTGACTACTTAGAATCTGAAGCACACTTCTCCATCGGATGGAGTCTGTGGGTTTTCAGTTTTTAATTAAAGAATTAGGTCCAGGGGCTGGAGAGATGGCTCAGTGGTTAAGAGCACTAGCTGCTCTTCCAGAGGTGCTAAGTTCAATTCCCAGCAGCCACATGGTGGCTCACAACCATCTATAATGGGATCTAATGCCCTCTTCTGGTGTGCATGAAGACAAGAGTACTCATATACATTAAATAAATAAATAAATAAATATTTAAAAAATAGAATTAATTCTAGCTGAGATATTTAGGGCAAGCAATTATTCTATATCAGATGCATAATATACAAGGTACATATGAATTTAGGATATTATATCACATATAGAATATAATATACATATATAGGATATAATACATATAAGACAAAATAATATCTAGAATAAATAATACATAACATTTTTAGTTGTATATTCATGTCTATTACTGCACTATTACAATAGCCCTAGATAAAAAACCAGCTTAGAAGACCAACAGGAATATATGGTACAGACACTTAGTTAAATAACATTTTAAAATAATGTACTCTATGTAAATATAAAACTGGGGGAAGATGTAAGAAATTACTGGAGCTAGGTAAAGTGCTCAGGAGTTTCTTGTTCCACATTGTAACATTTTTATCTTTCTTTAACCTACTTCAAAATTTATATTAACAAGCCAGCAGAGGAATATCCCACTAACTTTGTGGGTTACCCTCTTCCTGACACAAAAATTGTCAAGAGGACATTAAGTGCAGCTCTCAAGTTCTGTTCGCAGATGTGCTCAAGGCATTCACAGAACCCTGAAGTAGAAAGTGGAGCTGCCCGGACACGGCTCTTGCTGGACAGTCCAGAGAAGAGCTTTTTTCCTGCTGAGCATTTGCCTCAGATGCAGGAGGAGCCCTGCTGTGAGGCCTTGGAGGAGGAGGGCTTCTAGTCTCCTTCAGCCTAAATCCAAAACATTGGGAGGACTGAGGCTGAAAAGCCTCAGTGTTCAGCACCTGACCTGTTCTCCGAGGCTTATCTACAGATAGCTATCAGTGTAGCCCAGACCCAAAAAGAGGAAACTTCCGGGAGTGGGAGTCACAGTTCTGTTATGGAGGAGACCTGCACTGACGCTCCCAGACAGTAATCAGCACAAGAGCAGCAGCAGCAACAGCAGCAGCAGCAGCAGCTCTGAACACTCAGTGTCATGCAGTGGAAGAGGCACAAACCTGGGACTTAGCCTGCTAGACCATCAGTTCCCAAGGGGCACAAAGCAGGCCCCAAGTGCAGCTGTTTCTGGTCACCCTACTTAAAATATCAGGAATGCCTTCCACCATCCCACCTTCCCTCACATGCTCTCTGCCCGCCTCCTCCAGTGTGTCGCTCTCCCTTGGGTAGGCATGTTATTGTGCTCTGCGTAAAGGTTCAAATGATGATTTCTGTGCCTCCAGACCTGGTTGCAATCCTTGTTCTGAGAATCTCCTGTATAAATATTGCTCCCCAATGTTTGTTCCCTGACATCTCAGTAGAGCAGCTTGACAACAAATGACTGAGCAGAGGAGGGAATAGGGCTGGACTTCCTGCCAGCCAGGGGAGGAGAAGAGAGAGAGAAGGTGAGGATTCAGCCATGGGGAGAGGTCCATGAGACATCAGGAGAGAGCAGCTGGAGCCGAGAAAGTCGTAAAAGCAAGTAGCTTAGGGATTTCTGCTGGGAGGTAGCCAGATCAGCTGAGGGTTAAAATTGATTCATCCTGCTCAGTTCTTGTGACGTAAAGCTTGTTACATAAATATAATAGTTCTGTCTCAAGTATTTGGGTGCTGGTTGGGTTAAGAGAGAAACTGAAACACGTTTTTAAAGCTACCACTAACATCCTCTGCTACACCTTCAAGTCAGGGATGTTTGAGTCCCCTTGCCTGCCACATCACCAGTACCTCCAACTGTGCCCGGCACACAGCGGACACTTGCAGGGATCTGTAGAATGAGGCCAGGGTGCCAGGCATACAGATACATGGCATACCTGTTGCCTTCAATCTCGATGATCCGATGATATCTGTCTAGCTCATTCCTCAGGGTCTGCTGGACCACAGCCAGCTGCCTGCAGTCGTAGGAGGAACGCTCCAGAGAGCGCTCAGCCTCCTCTATCTCCTTCCGCAGGTTTTCAATCTGCTCGTTGTACAGCTGTATCTCCTCGTCGTAACACTCATGAGCATGTTTAATAGCTTGTTCCAGGGATGATGTCTGTGGGCAAACACAAACTGTGTGAAACTCTTCACAGCTTCTCCCCAAAACAGATAAAGGCTAGTGTGGGGCCTGGCGAGATGACTCAGTGAGCGCTTCAAATCTCTAGCATCCATGTGAGAGCCCGCATGCCAGTAAGCTCAGTGTCACAGGGGTTGAGGGATGAGACGCAGGCGGATCCAGGGAGCTTGCTGGCTAGCCAGCCTACTTGAAATGGTTAATTTCAGCGCCAGCAGGAGACCCTGTCTCAAAGAATAAGGTCAAAAGTGATAGAAAAAGATACTTGACATCCTTTTCTGGTTTCTCTGTGCATGCCCACAGGCACACACATAACACACACACTATACAAATTGAAATTAAGTTTTAAGGACAGGGTGTGGAAACAGAAGGTCATTTTCCATTACTTTCAAGAGCTTCTGGGAGTGTGACGGCCGGTATGTGAGTCTGCCTGCCTCCACCCTGCAGTGTTCAGAGCTTGGAACCAGAGCTGAACCCAGCTCAGGAGAGCCCGTCCTTTGCCTTCTCTGGGACTTCAGAAAAGGCTATCTCAAAAACAGTGACATGGAGGAGAGTTCCAGACTGCTACAGGACACGAAAGGGGGACCTGAGGGTGACATTCTGAAGCTGTGACCTTTTGTAACAGACATGAAGAAGCTGAGAGAGACAAGTCTTTAGACAGAGAAATGAAACCAAAGACGGAAGATAAACATAGATGAAGGAGCCTGTGCCAAGAGAAAGAAGACAGAGAGAGAGAGGGAGGGAGGGAAGGTAACAGTGAGCCAGTGCCTCAGACCCTGGTTCCTGCTGCACACTTGCTCTCAAACTTCATAAGCTTTGTGTTACAACCAGTTCCTTTTCAGGGGTTGGAGGAACCCTGCCAGCAGAGAGCCCAGTGTGAATCGCTTTAACCAAGTCACTGAGGTGAGCACCATCAACAGGAAAGGAGCGACCCACAGCCTCTTCCCCAAAACGTGGACCCTCAGCCAGATCCTGACGACACATCAGGGAAGCCCACAGGGAGGGCTGGCCCGCAGAACTCTTGTCATCGTCAAAGTCAGCCAGCAGAAACACCAAGTCAATGTCCCGGGCAGCAGGAGCTCAGGGCACCGGGCGTCAATGCGGGCAGGCGGCGGCAGCCGTTAAGTGTGGCATCCATAGGGTTTCCCGGTGTTCTTCACTGTCCTATGTGGTTACAGACTGTCACCTCGGGGGAGGCTGGGACAGAGCACATATAGGATGCAGGGCCATTGTTTCAACCCTGTAGAAATCTGCATTTATTTCAAACTGCCGCACTGCCCTTCCTGTTGAGGCCAGTTACCACTGGATTCCAGTCCTCCAAAATCAGTCTCCATCTAACCGCCACCTCTAACGCCAAATGCCAGGTCACACCCACCACCTACTGGGGTAGCCGTGCTCTTAGACACACACACACACACACACACACACACACACACACACAGACACACCACAGGGAAGGAGGCTAGAGTCTACTCCAGGCCCCGGTAAACTACATTGCCATCTATCAGCAGCTGGGCACACCAGCTCTCCTCACAGAACACAGACAGGACTCAAGGTGACCACAGGCAAAGACTTCCTTGAGTGTTTCAGACATCTAAACTGTAAGCCCCACAGCAAAGGGTTGTCACAGAACAGAGCTGGAGACCAGAAAAGGCCCCCACAGTCTCCACCTACAGAACAAGTGTGATCTTTTTATAATTCATGATATGATGGCTTGCTTTTCTGGTTTGCTGAAGGATGATTTGCTGGTTGGTTGCTTCTCTGAACGTGTGTGTCTTTTAAAGGCTACGTCTGCCAAGTGTGATGGTGATGCCTTTAACCCCATCACTCCGGGGTCAGACTCTGGTGGATCTCTGTGAGTTTGAGGCCAGCCTGATATACAGAGTGAGTTCAGGTTAGCCAAGGCTACACAGAGAAACCCTGTCTTAAAAATATGAATGAAAAAATAAATAAGTAAATGCTACGTCCTCGGGTGCCAGGTTACCATGCCATGTGTTTCCTCAGGTGTCGTGCTGTCCATGCCATGTCTCTCGGGCACCTTCCAACCTTTAACAGGCAGCTAATACGCCATGACATCCTTCAGACTCCATACAGCTTCCTCAGTGTCCAAGGATGTGAAACCTGTTTATGAAACTAGACTTCTGTCTACACCAACTCGGCTTTTGTAACTCAGTAACATAAACTATACATCAGAGGAAAAGAATATCCAAGAAAAACAGTCCTAAGCTCAGGTGTGGCTAAAGGAATCCCCAAGCAGACAACACCTCTGCCCTGGGTTGGGAGCATGTCATCACCATCCCAGCTATCAGAATGAGACACACAATCAGCCAGGTGATTCAACCCCTGGCATCCAGGGACCAGCCGTGTCTTGAATGTCTGCCCCTTGCACTGCAAAAGGAAAGAGATTTCCAGAAAAAGAGGGAAGAGCAGCCAGGGTTACCTGGAGGGGAGCATCTAAGGGCCAGGAGAGAGAGGCCGGGGGAGGGCATGAGCCACATGGAAACACACACTTTCCACTACAAGTGGGGTGCACGTTGTTCCTGATTGGGGCAATATGGTCTGTCTCGTTCTATCTCTTCAGAGAGCAGCATGCGCAGCAGTAGCCCATGCAGGAGCTGGACAACACGCCCATTGATGCAGTGAACTCCAGCCCCAGCCCTCTTAGGACCAGAATGGCCTTGAGTGTGAAACCATTATTCAAAAGGGGGAAGAGGCTCTTGGGGATCAGCCCTAGATCCTGACGACAAATGCACCAAGAAGGTCACAGCCGTCCGCAGCTGGGGGACCCGCGATGGTGCCTCCGTCTAGTGGTTCTCAAATCCTAACCCTGCAGCTCTTCATACAGTTCCTCATGGAGTGCTGACCCCCCCACCTAAAATTTATTTTCTTTGCTACTTAATAGATGTAATTTTTGCTACTGTTGTGAATCCTAATGTAAATATTTTTGGAGATAAATGTTTGCCAAAGGGGTGCTGACCCGCAGGTTGAGAACCTCTGCCTAGAAAGCAGTGAAGAAAATTGAAATCTGGCAGCACACCGAGTACACTTGTTCCTGCTGCGGCAAGAACGAAATGAGGCTGTGGGCCGTAGGCACGTGGCACCACGTGAAGTCAGTGGCTGGCAGGGCCTGGGCCTGCAACACCGCTGCTGCCGGCACACTGAAGGGACTGAAGACCCTCGGAAGCGGTGCTATTACAGACGTCTGACAGCAAACGGGTTATTCATGTGATGGCAATAATAACACAGCCAGCAAGATGGCTTCATGCGTAAAGAAAGATTCTTGTTACCAAGCATGACAGCCTGAGTTTGAGCCCCATGACCATACAAAAAAAGAAAGAAAGGAATCTGAACTCTGGACATGCACGTACACACCAGAGACAGACAGACACACACACACTGAGAGAGAGAGAGAGAGAGAGAGAGAGAGAGAGAGAGGAAGGGAGAGAGGGAGTGTATATATATATATATATATATATATATATATACACACACACACACACACACACACATATAGGTATACATTGGAAATGTATCTCTAAAAGAATGGTCAGGGGTGGAATGTACTCATCTTTGAAGAGGGAGGAAGCAGACACTAAGGATTGCAGGCAGCCTTTGGGAAATGGAAAGGATGAGGGGAGAGAGGGGAAAGAGAAAGGAAGGGAGGGAGGGGGAGAGAGAGAGAGATGGTAGGTGTATTTTGCTTAAGAGCGAGGTGCGTTGACAGAGCACTGACTTCCTAATCTCACCACTAGATGGCGATAAGGACCTTGCTGGAAAAAGAGGCCGGGGTGCAACCTGCTTGCAATCAATAAACCTGTTTTCAGGTCCCCTAAAGACACCAAGTTGCTTGTCATTCCTCCTCCGCCTGAAGGAGTGAATCCGCAGGAAACTTGGGCATCTGTGTGTGGCCTCACCTGAAGGGGAGGCCCTCACCTCTGGTCTCAGACTCTGTTCTTCTATGCCGGATCTAATGCCTGTGGGATGGCCTGGAGGACTTGTTGAAACAGGGTTGCCAGGCCACAGCTACTCTGGATGTACCCAAGAATGTGCATTACTGACAAGTTCCCAGATGCTGCCGAGTCGGGGAACTTACCCTGCAGATCCCAAACGTGGAACATTCTGGAAGCATCAAAAACCCTGACAGAGAACCACCTGCCACAGCCCTGCAAAATGTCCTGTCCCCACCCTAACCGTGGCTTGGCTGAAAGGTCAACTACCTACTGTGGATACACAAAGGCTCATTAACCAGCTAAACTCCAACAGTCACCGTTTCGAATGACACCGTAGAGGGTACAAGCCTGGAACTCGTAAGATCAGGCATGGGACATTCTGACACCCTCCCACCACACTCATGACCCTCCCACCTCACCCACACTCCACTGCCCCACGCGCCTACCTGCGCTGATTGCAGGCACGCGCCACCACCCTGGCTAATTAATTTTCTTTTTTTTTTTTTTTAATGCCTTTAACATTTTATGACTAGGGGGTCCACAAGCTTCACAGACTACCAAAGTCTAAGGGCGGGGAGGGGACCTAGAGGGTGAGACCCTGCCCTAGACACAGAGATAAACAGGGTAGGCCTCAGCTGCAGAGGGTGAGAATGGGGCATGACCCAACAGCCCTACCCCATGTTCTCAGAAACCAAGCCAATGCTGTTACATCACACCCGATAAACTGTAACTGACAGCTTGAAACCATGGGTTTCCCGGGCCGTGACAGGCCTGTGCCTGCTTCCTCAGTCACGCACAATACACACACACACACACACACACACACACGCATGCACATATACCCTCCATAATTGATCACACACTTCATATACATATTACATGTTATAGTAAAAAAACACGTTTGTACACAAGAGCATTCTTTTTGCCCCCAGAGCTAGAATTCGGTAATTCAGGCTAAGGTTTGCCTCTTTTTCGCATCTAGGGCAGCGGTTTCCAACTTTAACACCCGGGCCACAGGAAGTGACCTATTTCACACCATAAACCACATCACATGTGTGCATTCGAGCAAGTGCATGTGTAGTCAAATATACACAGGTGTATCTAAGACAAAGGTTCTCCACAGTAAACCCCACACCTTTAACTGCCAATCATTCTGTTACTCCTTGTTCTTGGTTCTATGTTGCTTTCTTTAGTCTTCTGGTACCAGTCAGTTCTACTGAATTCACTTTATGGCCAATGAGTTGTAACTAACAATTTGAAAACCACGGTCCCCAGAACCATGACGGGACCTATCCCTACTTCCTCAGTTACAAATAAAACACACACACAACACATGACCTTACGTGCATAAGCATATGCCCTACACAGACACTTCACACACTCCATATACACATCACACGCACACGAACACGTATACCTGACATTACACATCCCACTGACACATATACAGACCCTACACACCATATGGACACACCACACACACCCTTCAAGTTATATATATATGCACTATGCATACCACACACTTTGCAATATACTCTGTCTACAAACACACAGCAAACACACACGCATCGCCTACACTCACACACCAGACTTCACATGCAAACATACCACATACATATACATGTCCTACAGATATGCACACACCACACACATTCTCTACATAAACATTTCCATCTCTCCCTTCTGCCCTCCCCACTCTTTCCTCCCCATCTCTCTCTCTCTCTCTCTCTCTCTCTCTCTCTCTCTCTCTCTCCTCTCAGGTCCTTGGCCACCACAGTCACTAAGAAGTATCCAGACCCTGGCCATGGCTAGGCATTTTAATGATTCAGTTTCTCCCCTGTGATCATCAGCCTCAGTGACAATCACAGTCCCCAGCTGCTCTCCAGTGGCCCCTAGGAATGCTTCACAGTGAGAGCTTTGTGAGGGGCCCAGTGGGAATGGAAAACAGAATGTCAGAGAGACGAAATGCAAACCCAGGTAAAGCTTTAGGTTTTCGTGCCGTGGGCTCTAAAAGGTAGGGCCTGAGTGGCCTGTGGGTCTATAGTCAGAATTTTAGATTTTCCCCTTATTCCTTGAGTGTTCTTGCCTGCTGAAGTGTCGACTGACTGCTTGGCCACATGTGGTGACCCAGCTCTGAAGTGCAGCATTTAAACCCACCTGGAAGCAAGAAAGAACGTGTGAAGGGGCCCAGGCTGTGAACCATGAAAGCCGAAACTAAAAAGAAACAGAGACATGAGCCTCGCACCAGCAGAGGTATCTAATGAGACTCGAACACGGGCACAACCCGCCTTCCACCCACATGTGGGCACTCTTCTCAGACCATCACCCAGTTCAAAGGAGGAGCATCAGAAAGGAAAAACAGGAATGCCCAGACTTGAGTGGATGTGCAATTAAACCCCTGATGCGTGTTTGTTTCTTCTCACTGTTGACAAGCCCGACACTGGCAAAGGGATCCATGATGAAATGGGTTATTGCCCTTGGTAGAGACAGGCCCGGCTCAGATGGTGACGAGAGCAGAACCACCATGACGCTGGATGTCCACGTGTCCCTGCCTCCATTTTCCCAGGACCCTTAATAGCCATGTAGCTAAAACTCACGCATCCTGGGAAACCTCAGCCTGGGGTGGGAAACCTCAGCCCGGGGCAAACCAAGGCATTTGCTCACCTATTCAGATCGCTATCATGCAGGGCACGCAGGTGTTCGGAGGCAGAGACCTCTGCCTGCCTGTGCTGTGTCAGTTAGGTCGGCAGAGGATCCCTAGAGGGCTGTGGAGCGTACCTGGGCCTGCAGCTCGGCCTTCTGCGCCTGCAGGTGGGTGAGTGTCCCCCGGCCCTCCTCCAGCTGGCTCCGCAGTGCAGCTACTTCCCGCTCCGTCAGCAGCTTCTCCTGCAAGAGGAGACCAGACTCAGACCAGGATGAACTAGGGCAATGAAAGGGCAGGGCCCTTCTTTGTATTCCCCTCAGTTCACGTGCCAATGCCTGAGTTGGCAAGGCGTTAGTGAGGGGGAACCTTTGGAAGGTGACAAGGGTCAGACAAGGTCATAAAAATGGAGCTCCATGAGGAGTTGGTACTTAGGAGAAAAGCAGAGTTAACAGCGGCCTACCCTCCCACCCACCACCATGCGGGCACACCATTAGCAAGAGCCTGCAACAATGCCAACTCTGCGGGCACGTTGATCTTGGGCCTCCAGCCTCAGCGCTGTGAGTGATAAACTAAGAGGTCCTGTGACAACAGCTCAGCCTGCCTCGCCCAGGCCACTCAGACGGTGGCCACTGTCTGAACCAGTCCCTACTCAAGAGTGAAAGGCAGACAACAAAGATCAAGAGGTCCAAGCAGAGACCTATTTGTGCCAAGGCTGGCTAGCCTGACAGACATTTGACTTTCAAAGCCTCTGTCTTCCCTTTTGTGAAAAGAGAACTGCAGAATGCAGATGCTTATTTGGCTCCGGGTTCTGTGTCTGTAAAGATGAAAATCATTCTGTGCACTGAGCCATCCATCAGCTATGCCAGAGCAGCAGGGAGCCACCCAGCCCCAAATGGTGAAAGGAAAGCAAAGCCTAATGAGGCCAGGACACTAGCCTATGGAGGATCAGTGGGGCAGTCCAGAAGGAAGGCCCCTTCCGGTCCTTCCACGCCCTGTCCTGACTTGCCTCTCTCTCCACCTACTCAAAAATACCAGTGATTCACATGGCTGACAGTCCAGGAGCCCTGCCGTCAGCATGCAGGACACGGCCTCAAAGCCCTGTAAACTCTGACTGACCGGAGTCGCTACCAAGCGCTCTCCATGTTTAGCCATCCACAGAAGGCAGCCCCTGCTCACCGACAGACAGATCACAAGTTGCTGCCACACGTGGCTCTCAGAGGTTCATGTGTTGAAGGCTTGGTCATTAATGTGTGCAGTGTGGAGAGACGTGAAGCCTTCAGAAGGGAGCCTTACAGGGGAGACAGGAGGTGGAGGACCCTTGAAAGAGATTCTGGGTCCCAGCCCCCCACCCCCTCCTCCTGCTCCTACCGTGAATGTACTTCACCACCACACCCTCAAACAAGAGTGCCAACTAACCACAGAAGGAAATGCTACAGCCTGGCCCACTTCCCCCAGCCAGCCTCGACCTCCTAAAGGTCCCATAACCTCCCCCAAAAGAAAGCCACCTACGAGGGACTAAGCATTCAAACACATGAGCCTGCAAAGGACATTTCACATTCAACCCTTAGCAATGCTCATTTTTGAAAAGGTGACTTTCATAGATTTCCAGGGATAAAAAGCAGAAGAGTCAATGAAATGAACCTGCAGGTGTCTGCCTAACTAACCAATGTGCAGAACTCCTGAGCTAAGATTCAGAGAACAGAACAGGACACGCCACTGCCATCAACAGCCACTGGCTCTTAGGGAAAGGCTGGAGCTGAGAGCCCCACCCCACCCATGCTGACCAGCACAGTCTCGAGAGCGCAGGCCCTGTGCAGGTAATGAGGCCTACTGTGAGCTCCTGAGTGCAACAGCCATTACCAAAGGTACTGCAGCAGGGACCTTTCAGCCGTGAGGTGTTTTGTAATTAAGTTAAAATTAAAACACAGAGCGAGCTCTGGTTCTGTAGTCTGGCTGACCCCTGCCTGCTTCAAAAGCACCTAGTTCTGCTCGGAGGAGTCCTTGCCCTGCCTTGGGGCATGACCTGAGCACACTTCCAGGGAACTGCGAAGGCACCAGGACACAGAGGCACTATCTTGGGTCATCCTTGAAAAACAAAACAAACAATAAAAACCCCTATCGGAATCTGACCAATCAGTTCGCCAAACCTGTGCCAGCTTACCCTAACCACTTGAAGAAAGGACAGAGTGGCATTTTGCTTCTTTCATTACATTTGAAACCGAGGGTCAAAGGCAAGCCTTGAACATTCAAAGCACACCCTAACCACTGAGCTGCATATCCAGGCAGCATTCTGATTTTAATTTGCATCTCTTTTTCTATGCTTAAATGTACAAAATGCCCAGTATCCTGCCAAGCAGCTAACTCAAAAGGGAAATGGAAGTTTTAGACTGGAAAAAGGATTTTAAATCTCTCACACGTGCCATAGGCTCACAGGGTCATGAACAGACTGGCCCTTGCAAATGTATTTGCTAAGTTTCCTAAGTTTCAATTCTATGACCAAACTGCTAACGAGAATAAAAAAGCCAACAGCCTGCTACTGTTTGGATGTCCCCCAAACAAATTCCCAACAGAGCAGAGTTGAGAATGGGGCCTGGTTGGAGGTTCTCGGTCCTCAGAAATAGACGAGCTCGTGGGAATGGCTTCTCCTGTCCTGTTCTTCTGACATGTGAGGCCCAGGGACTTGCCCCATTTTCCCTTTCCCCCTTTTACCAAGTAAGGGAGCCCAAGACAACCCCTAACCAGGAGCTGGAGCTTTGAACGAGGACTTCCCAGGCTCCAGACCATGAGAAACAAACTTCTGTACTTTATAAATTATTCAGTCTGCGGTACTGTATTATAGCAACACTAATAGGCTTAGACACATCCGTACTTTAAGAAATGGACAAAAGAGGTGAACAGATACCTCACCAAAAAAATATCCATGAATAGTAAATAAACACATACTTAACATAAATAGTTACTGGAGGATGTCAGCTCAGACCACAACTAGAATCACTACATACCTAGCAGAAAAATAAAAGAAGAACCAAAATGAAGGTTGAGACAGTAAGCTCTGTCGGGAATGTAAGACAGGCACCCTCCATAACCAGAGGGAGTGCAACTATGGCTGCATAGAGCAGATATATGGTCCCTCTGAGCTTTCCTGCTGGATTTTAATCCCTTCTGTGAAGCACTGAGAAGATGGAGGTCCATACTCATAATCCCAATGCTCAGGAGGCTGAGGCAGGAAGACTGCAAGTTCAGGGCCAGCCTGGGTTATAGAGCAAGCCTGTCTCAAAAGACAAAAGAGGGGGAGGTTAGTCAAGACCACAACGAGGCCATTAGAAAGGAAATGAGGTTGAAGATTAGAAAGTAAATGAGGTCATCAGGGTGTAGTTCCCTTGATGGATCCTGTTAACTTTTTGAGAAGAGAAAAATCAAAGGACACAGACGTGGATGGACAGGCAGACACACACAGACACAGACACACACACAACACACACAGGACTTGTTGCCTTGTAGTGCTCTGAACCACACTGGGCAGTGCCCAGTGAAAACTGTACCTAGACAAAGTCCCCTGACCCTGCATCTCCAGAAGTATAAGTCAACGCCTCGATCCTCTTTTCTTCTCCTCTTTTCTTGGCTTACCCATTTTATCACTGTGCCGCTGGCAACAGAAAAGAGACTAACACAGACGTTGTAGGTGATGATTAATATTTACTATTGATATATCTTCTGGTAAAGCTTGCTGTTAATCCTAAACAGCTGCATAACCAAATCACCACACAGAGACTATGATTTATTTAGTTAACCTAGAACACAATGCTGGGCAATAATTACTCCCTCTTAAACCTCCAAGCCCTCATAGTTTCCTAACATTTAGATTTTACCCATTATACTTGCTTTTTGTGAAATCTTATGTCTGGTTCATTCTCCATTCATTCCAAGATCTCTTCTCCAGCCCTGCTCTCCTCGCTCTGCCCCCACCCTTTTGCCTCACATTCTTTTCCTGTCCTCTGGCTCCTCCCCTCTCCCACCTACTCTTTCTTCTCCATTGCTCAACACTGTGGCTGGTTGTTTTATTTTGGATGTTTACACAAAGTTGAGACAGGTGATGCTTAGAATAAGTATCACAATGCAATATCTGGATTGAAACGGGGAGGGGGAAGAAATCAGCATTTGAATGAACAAGGGTAAGGTGTATACATTTCAAAAGAACGTTATGCCAACACACAGAATACTAACAAAGTATGCAAGAGAGAACAGACCACGCTTCCTAGGAGAAAATACCTAAGGTGGTGTGAAGGGACACATCTATGGCCTCTGGAATCTATCAGCGTTTACCACTTGAACAAAGAACAGACCTCACACTTGAACGCCACTCAGATGCAGGGAGAAGCTATCTTACCCAGAAGCAGTCTGACCCAGGGCTTCTCCAGGATCTCTGAGGTCAACTCGGTCCACAGGAACGTAAGTAGAGACTCAGAGCACGGCCTCCCCAGGACTGATAGTTTTCCCTGTGGCCACAGCTCCCTTTCTTACCTCCCTCATCTCACCAGTGACCAGGGACACTTGTGGAGCAGTCTGAACGAGCTGCTGCAGAATGGTGATGTAGGTCTGGATCTCCAGAAGATTCTGTTGCAGAGGGAAAATAGTTTCACTGTAAGTTGAGCTGCCAGAATCCTTTTCTCCCATCCTAAGTGAGCCTGGAATGAGTGAGTGCACGTATCCTGTTGTTCCACGTATCCTGTGATTACATCCGGGACAAAGGGATAAGCTGCAGCTGCTGGCCATGGCCCCCTGGAGTGGGCATTCCACATCTGCTGAAGAACTAGTAAACTTGGGCTTACCGTTGCCATCTCCCTTCAGTTACCTTCATACACTGCACTGGCTTCACAGAGCCCTGGGTGCAGGTGCATGAGAGGAAAAGGCACCAAACAAGGCCTGCAAGCTACCAAGACCTGACAGCACAAGACGGTGTTTCAGGGAGAAGGCAGCTCTAGCAGCCATGCTTAGGCTAAATGACTTACTGAGTGTGAGTGCATTCGTGTGTGTGTGTGTGTGTGTGTGTGTGTGTGTGTGTGTGTGTGTTTTCTCAGGCTAGCCGTTAAAGTCTCCTAGAATGGAGTCCTTTCATGAAACAGGGCTAACTATCCATAGGGATGTCTGGTGACTTTTACCAGCCAATGCACCATTCCCAGCTTTGAGCAAAGACTGATAACACAGCCTGCCACAAAAAAACAGCCTTGGCTGACCACTGGTCAACTTGTCCGGGAAGCTATGTGAGCCCTAGCCCATGAATGAAAAAGAGCAACCACTGGCCTCCCGGTAAGACCGATCCCCCCCCCCCCCACACACACACACACACACTGTCCCATAGTCCTCCACTAATACAACGGGAACACGGGTCACTGTCCCGGCTCCGCTCATCAGAGCTGACTTGAGCCTCTCCTCTCAGGCCGGGACCCAACAGATAATGACTGGAAGCTTCCCACCCTCCTGGTTATTGTTCTAAAAGTCTCCGGAGTGCTTCCCACTGCTCTGAAACTGCCCCCAGACATTGCTCTCAGCCTTCAATAAGATAAATACAAGGAAGCTGGAAGGTGTGGAAAGGAAACAGACAAGGGCCTGGTGAGAGGCCGGGTGCCAGGGAGGAAGCACTTTGGGCACACACGGGAGGTGGGGAGGGAGGAACACAGGGCCCTTGCCTGGCTCTGGGCTATCTTTGGTTGCGGCTGCGTTTCCCTAAAAGTGTTTCCCAGAGAAAAATCTGGGTACAGACAGCTGAACAGGGCAATGATGCAGGCCGTGTAGCTGACAGGACAGGGAAGACTAGGGGGGGGGGGCATTGCCATCCACTGCGCTCCCGTGAGCACAGAGCTCACGCTGCCAATTTCATCGAGGTCCTGCTGCCCAGACAGGAGGAACCCAGGGGGTTTACACACAGACTCCCGTCAGTCACTGAATGAGGCTCCATGGGTACCGAAACTCCCCAATATTTCCTAGGAAATGGAGCAGTTTTCAACCTCTACAAGGTCCTCGGCAAAGAGGTACAGATACTGTATCGTGAAACAAGGACCCTTCAAAACTGGGCCTCACACAGTGAAAGTTTTTCCCAGAAAGTCCAGCCTTGGTGAGAACAGATGGGGCCCTGAGGTCAAATAAAAAACTCTCCCTTCACTCCAGGAAAAGGGTCCTCACACCCCTAGCAATTTGCAGCTAAATCTACACAGGACATTCTCTGGCTTTTGCCTCCTCTTTTCTACAAAACAAGGAAGACAGAAAGCCACTGAATTCCAGTGTCATCTGTAAATCACCTCATTCCCTTTACCCATTCCTGTCTGGGCTTCTCCTGGTAAGTCAAGGCACAACAGCCCTGAGATTCGGGTTACAATATGGACAGAAGTAGAGCAGAGCCTGTCTTCCCTTTCCATTAACCCATTGTTAACCCACACAGCAGCACCACAGAGGATGTCACTGGCATTCTGAAGATAAGGACCAGCCTAGCTAGGCCACGTTACTCACTCACAATTACACAGGATCTGACTTCCTGTACACCAAAACCCCTAGCATCACTTGTGAGAGGCGGGTAAGGAAGGGGAAAGGTCAGGACACTCTGAAAAACAGGGCTCCTAAAAAAAGGTGTTAACTGACTGCCTCAAAGGCAGAGCTAAAGGCTGTAGCACAAGACCTTAAACACACACACACAACTTCTCCCTCCTGTGCACTTTTCTGAGAGAAAGCAGTTGAATGCTTAGAGACAGAGCTTCCTAAACCATCTTGTAAATGACAACGTGCAGCACAGGCACTAAAGCCAACCGTCCCCAGCACGCCCTGGACCTGCCCGCTGACGATGCAGCTCTGGCTAGGCGGGTGCTGTCTGTGCAGTGGCTGGCTCAGGCGGATGCAATCACAAGCCGCTGGCACTAGTAATCTCCTGTGCAGGCAAACTCAAACTGGGCTTCCGGAAGGGTCTTCCCACACCCGGCAGTTACCTTTTTGTACCTGTCCTTGGCCACACTGATATCCGCCTGCAGAAACTGTGCTTCCAGCTGAAGGTGCAGGTTACGCAATAAGGCTTCGTCAGCTTCCTGCAACAAAGGGCCACGCCAGGGTCACACGAGGACATGAGTGTAAAGTGAACCAGTTACAAACACAGGAACCACGTGGAAACTTACTAAAACAGATTCTTGTTCAGTGGGTCTAGGACACTGCTCTCTCTCTCTCTCTCTCTCTCTTGCTCTCTCTCATCTTTCTCTCTCTCTCTCTCTCTCTCTCACTGTGTGTATGCATGTGTGAGTGCATGTGTGTGTATACAGGTTGCAGGTGTGTGCATGTGACCCATCTTGCACGTGTGGACGTCAGAAGACAACTTTCAGGACTGGATTCTCTCCTGCCATGGGTTCCTGGGACCCTACTCGGGGCATCAGCCACGTAAAGCAAGTGCTTTTACATCCTGAGCCATCTTGCCAGCCCTAGAGGAAACATTCTTTTTTTGTTATTATTTTTATTTTATTTTAGGAGGAAGTGTTCTAAATAAAGCAGCAGGCGGTCACTGGGCCTGGCTGAGAACAGTAGTTCTTATCATTGCTAGAACTGACATTTGGCAATGTCTAGAGATCCTTATTACTGTCAGTACCTGAATGATAGGGGACATGAAGACTGCTCTAGGTACCCTATAATACACAGTCCGCCCCCTTCACACTCACACAACAAAGACGATCACAGCCTAAATGTCCGTAGTGCCAGGCTTCAGAAACCTTATCAAGGAAAAGCCAAATATCCTTAAGATTTACAGACATCTATATCTGTCCTCTATCTTGTCATCCGTAACTTGAGTTTCAAGACCAAACCTATATAAAGGTGGAAGGAGAGAACTGACTCCACAAAGCTGTCCTCTGACCTACACACACACACACACTTAGACACACAGACACACACTCACACCCCCTCTCTCCCACCCGCTCTCTCTCTCACACGCATGCACACACACACACTTCATGGCATGTACCCCCATCCTCACTTCACATCATACACACACATATACATACACACAATAATAATAATAACAATAATTGTAAAGGCTGTCTGAAATTGGCTGAAATGCTTCAGTGTGTTTGGTGTGAAATTACAGGTTTATCAGGAATCCCCATTCCCCAAGACAACACTGCCTAGGCACACCTGCCGATATCAGACATTGCCAAATGGTTTTTTAGAGACCTCTTACGAGCTTCTCATGATGAATGCTAGGAATGGCTTTTCATTAAAAAAGGTGGATACCAGTTTGATCAAACTGTTTATGAGATACTAACTCATAAACTCTCTTTCCAGTGAGAGAGTTAAGATAGCAAAGACAAGTGGATGGCCAAATTTGTGGAGACACTCCATATTGGCCAGTAGTCCAGCAAAGTCCTTGGAATGCATTCTCTGGAATGTCACTTGATTCTCTAACTGTTCTTATAAAAGGAAGAACCTCAGCTGTCTGATGCTGACAGCCAGGACAGAGAAATTCTGACTCTATAGCGGGATCTGTCTGTAGTAGGCTTCCCAGCCAGTGCTGTTTTTACACCTGTGGCACTGGAGAGCTGGGGCAGGAAGTCTCCTCGTGCCTCCATGGGCTTTGGATGTAGCTCCACCTCCTCCAGGAGCAGCAGTTTGCTGTGCAGTGGCTCCCCACTGGGAGCTGGGGCTAACTCCTCACAGAGACACAGCAATATCTGAGACAGATGTGAAGGAGCGTTGGACAAAGACACAGAGCCAATTTCCTGGATGTTTTCTGCTTTCCCTCTGTCTCCTTAAAGCCTAGAAGGGTAGGCTGGGATGGGCGAGTCTTATTGACAAACCTACATTTGACCCACGATTGCTGGAGCTGAAGGAGAATTAAAAATTAGTCCAAGCACCCCTTGTCCCTGATCTAAGAGAGATCAAACACTCCCAATCTTACAGATGGAATAAACTGCGGAGAACATTGGTTTGCTCACTGGCACCTTAAAGCCATTGGTACCTTCCTTCAAGTGACATGTAAAGCACTGTATAAGATCAAAGCAGGTGCTTAGTTTATTTTTTTACCTGTTGGGGTGTGAAGCACACTGAATCATTTTCCTGCAGATCATAGAGGACCACAAACAGATATCTGTCCAGCAGTCCTAGTCCCTCAGTGTCCCTTCCACCAAACTTAGGACTCTGGCAACCACAGTTCAAAGCCTAAAGTCTTTTAGAGAGATTGGTGGGTCCCTCCATTCATTAACGGAAAATAACAAATGACAACAGGACTTGGACCCTGCCCATGGGCTTTTCTGGGATGCAGAATGGAGAGCCATCCTACCAGACCCCTACCATCCATCCACACCTCCCCCTGGGGATTATGCCAGGACCAGCACTGGCTCCAATAAAGCAATATTCAAAGCCACCTGTGGCAATAATATTAATGCAGCCCTTGTCTTTAAAATAGGATAATCCAATGCTTTTGTAAGTGCATGTCTTGCTTGGGAGATAATCATGTATTAACCTGCCCTGAAAATTCCAAAGGTGAGCCAGCGCTTCAGGACTGTGCAGTTGCTGATATGATGAGACTTTGTTTTGAAAGCGATGTTCTTTTATTTGTGCCAGAGCTCAGAAATGTGTAGACGCCTGTGTTTTCATTATGCCAGAGATGCTGTCAGCTGAATTTCCAAACGCTGCAGCAACAGAAGCATCCAGATTTTTCAGAATGACTGCCTGTGTCAACTGTCTAATTTGAGAAAATAATCCAACCCTGATATGGTGAGAGCTGGAAACGGGGGGGGGGGGGGTAGGCGGTTCACAAAACAGATCACCCCACCAGAGAGCTAGCTGGAAATGCACATACTCTCAAGGATTGCAACACCCTCCCAGGTCGGAGGCCACACAGTGAAGTGCCAGGTGGTCCAGGACATTGACAGCCCCACCCCACCATGCAGGGGATGGAAGCCAGGCTGTGCACATGCTGTGAAAGCAGCAACCAATGAGGTACATCACAAGCAGCCTCTGCAGCCATTTGTGAGAAAGGAACCAGAGAGATAATTAACGTTCAAGGCACCCTTGACAATCAGCCTTGACAACTTTTTCACAAGAATTTGAGGCTTCCGTCAAAACCCAGCTGCTGAAAAGTGGAGATCCAAGTTCATTAAAGGCATTGCAAGCTGGGATTTAATTTAAAACGTCTTTTCCTTCAACCCTGGGTATCAAAAAATCTTCCCAAAACAAAATGTTGCAAGTTGCTTTTTGCATCTGCAGGACAGAGGCTCTGGGTGAACTGGGCTCCTCTCTCTCTCCTTGGCTTCATTTTCTCTGCTCTGCTTTCTCCCTCTGCACTCTCCTTGCTCTTCCTCTGCCTTCCATTCCTTCCCCGGACGCCTCTCCACACTCCAGCCTCCTCCTAAAGGCCTCCTTCCCCAGGCCCCGCCTCTCCTCTTCTCTTGGCCTGCGGAAGCCAGCAACCCGGTAGGTGGTCGCTTCATGTCCCCCCTCTCCTGCCCTGGGCGCCAGCACCCCCTGCTCTTTCGCCAAGAGACTTCAGAGGCAGACGAAGCACACGTGTGTGAGCCAACCTTTGAACGGCTTTTCATTGTCTTTAAGAATTTAATAATTAAAAAGTTTTTAAGAAGCTACAGCAATTGAAATTGTCAATGTTAAAGCTTTAAAGGTTAGTCCTTAGAGCCCGTCTCAACTGATAAGAAAACTACAGGAATCATTAGTAACCAGTAATCTAAGTATATATATGTGGTGATGAGTCATAAAGGTTACACAGCCTGAATACTTACTTAAAAGCCATCTGCAGTTCTTGATCCATCAAAAGGCTGAGTATGTGACTAACTCTGGCCACACTCTTTAAGTGTTATGTTGAGGGTTTTATTTCCCTTCAAAAGAGTGGCTTGCTCTAGCCACTTTTGCCTCCCAAAAGACAACTCTATACAACTATTGCAGGAATGTTCCAGAATCCTTCTCTGGAACCTGTGGCTGTTTCTCTATTCTTCAAAAATAGGGAGCTTCAAGGGAAATGGGCACTTCTTCCTCTCCTCCATGAGTCTTTGCTTCAGAGAAGCAACCTCAAGACTATTAGCCTCCATCTCTGGTCAGCCTACTGAGTAAAACATAAGTGGGGTATTGTAATGCTGCCGTATCTTGATAGCCTAGAAACACTCCATGGATTGGGAGCTTGATCCCCAGGGCAGAGGGGTTAAGAGGTGGCAGGACCTTCAAAAGGTGGGGCACAGTGGGAGAGCCTTATAGCCCTTACCCCAGCTGTGGCTTCCTAGCTTGCCATGCAAGCTCACCTCACAGGCTTCCGCAATTGAACTAAAGCCTTTCACCATAACTGAACTAAGCCAGGGGCCCCCTTCACCAGTGGCATGTGTTTGTATTTGCAACTTCCAAATCTGTGAGATAAAGAACTCTGATTTGTTTTTGTTTTTCAAATTACTCATCCTTGGGTGTTTTGTTATATTATGGATAATAGGTTAATACACCTTAGCATCACATTATCAGCTTCACAGTCTACGTTTCTTTCATGGGACCACACGTGTCATAAGGTGCATAAGTGAACCGGTATATCAGTTCACTCACCAAGATTTAATTGAAATTAAGAAGTCAAGGAAGAAAACGGTAGCAAGAAACAGACAAATGATAATATAAAGGGAAGAGGCTTGTAGGAAGCAAGCACTCTTACTATCTAGTAGCTGTGCGGGAACTACTTAAATCCAAGGCCGTATTCTACCCACCTTGTTAAGTCTTTCCAGCATTTCCTTTAGCACCAATTGACAGTCACACTCATTTTCGTACCTGCAAATTGGACACACAGGCAAGAGTTAGGCAGCTTCTGGGCTTTCTCGGGTACAGATCACACTGCCAGTGTAAAGTTCAATCTCAGATAATACCGTGCCCTTTTCTTTAAGAAGAGAATTTCAATTTTAAAGAAATAGCTAATTCCACGTTTCCTTGCCCACTGCTTCCCAATAATTTTCACACCACCAAGCACATAGAAAATGTGAATAATGGGAAAATATAAACGAGACAGAAGTCTTCCATCCTGGGACACCTCAGCTGCCTCCCATCCAGCACCTGAGGATAAGGGGATTATGTTTGAGCAGAGCTGTAAGCCAAGCACCGCCTCAGAGTGGAGATAGGAAGGCTGCCCTGTTCAGTCCCTAACCAACGACAGATTTCCTAAACTGGCCTCTTCGTTCACGCCTGTGACATGTCAATCTTTTGCTATTGTATTATTCACCCTCACAACTACAGACAGAGACTGCTGCTACCTTTGGGGGAGAGACAGGAACACAGCTGAGCGCCTCTCCCCAGGGTCTAGGGCTAGGGCTTGGTGGTAAAGTGGTTACTGCACAACCAGGAGGACCGTGAGACTGTGTGGTTTACTGGAAAAACCCCTTTCTAGGTGTGGCTCAGCCCTAGCACACTTTTAATCCAAAGCTTTCTGCTGAGTATCATAAACAGAATTAAATAAAGTGAACCCAAGGTCAAGAGGTGGAAAAAGCAACCAGTTGGCAGGAAGTGAACATAGGGAAAAAGCATAGCGAGTAAGAGGACGTCAAGAGGAGCAAGCACAGGAAGTAAGGGGGACATTGAGTTTAGGGGTATTTTGAGATGGATTGGGGAAGAAGGTTTCTCTTTTTCTTTTTGATATGTTGGCCAAGGAGTAAGGCCAGCTGGGTGCTTTCTCTGCCTCTCTGAGCTGGCAGGTTTTCTACCCCAGTACCTGGTTCTTGAGTCTTTATTGGCAAAACTGAACATTTGAGATTTTGTTGAAAACAACAGAGGACCACAACACCTAGGCTGAGCAAGGGAGCCCCCAGTTCACGCCCAGTTACCAGCCCCTTGACGTTAAGAATATGCTATTCTCTCCTACTTAATTTCTTTCCAAAGAAAGAAATGATAAGCAGATACCCCAGAAATTCTTATGGTCAGAGGGAAAAGGGCTCTTCCCAGTGGTCCCCTCCCCCATTCCATGTAACCCAATACGAATTCATTTCTTCTTCAAAGGGTTCTAGCACTTCCAAGGGTTCAGCAGGTACCAGGCTGCTTAGAAGGGAACTTCACTCCCCACGCCTCCCTTGGTCCGGAAGTGCTCATGTAGCTGAGTCTCAACCAATAGGTTAGAAAGATAGGTCTGTGTAGACCCTTCCGGGTAAAGGAGGCAACAGGGAGTCACTGCCTCATGGATCCTGCAGCTTGCAGCACGGACGCTGCCTTCTTGAGGTTCGTGCAGAACCTTCAGAATTTCACATACTAAACTGCACACCTAGACTTTACCCAGGAGAGAAAAAAAAAAAAAAAAACTTTCATCTTGGATAAGCCAATGTTAGATATTTTGGGTGGTAAAATATATGTACAATCATTTAAATATTTTGCTTTTATCTTCAATTATGTTTATGGAGGGCGGGAACACATCAGTTAGGTGGCCGTGAAGGTCAGAGAGGAAGCTGGATCCCCTGAAGCTGGACTTAGGGGCTGTGGTGAGCCTCCTGGTGAGGGTGCTAGGAACTGAGTACTGGCCCTTTTCAAGCGCAGGACGTGCGCATAACCATCTCTTAACACCACCCTGGGACAAGGCCTCTCGGGGCAGACCTGGCTAGCCTAGCACTCTCTGTACATATCAGGCTGGCCTGGAACTCAGAGATCTGCCTGACTCCGATTCCCAAACACTGGGATTAAAAGTGTGAGTCACCATTCCAAGTGGAGACTTAGCACTTTTGAGAGTGCATTTCATGGTGTTAAGTGTACTCACAATGTGGCTGCACAGCAGCCGGCACCCCCATCGCCAGAACTCTTCTAACAGTGAAACTCTCTGCCCATTAAACACGAATGCCCCATGGGTCCCTCACCCCAGTCCTTGGCAACCAACACTCCACTCTCCATCTCTAAGTACCTCGTATAAGCAGAACCAGTATTTTCCTCCCTGTGTCTGGCTTATTTGGCTCAGAAGAGTGTCCTCAAGGTTTATTCCTGTTGCAGCGTGTGTTCGAATCTCCTTCTTTTTTTAAGGCTGGGTGCTATCCTAATTTATGTTTATACCAGATGTGCTTAGACACACATCTGACAAACAGCTGGGATAGATGAGCTGTGGGAGAAAAAGTGTGGTTTGGAACTCGATCTTCAGCGTTTGCACCATCCGCCAAGATGCGTGTTACGATAGGTGTGCAAGGTTGTTGGAATATTTTTCCATCCAAGATGCAGGTGTATGTATATGTATATATGTAAAGCTGGGTTGGAGCTCACTCTCTGGAGTTTGCTTCATCCAGGCAATATGTGAATGTGTATGTATATACGTGTGTGTGTGTGTGTGTGTGTGTGTGTGTGTGTGTGTGTGTGTAAAATAAAATAAGCCTGTAAGAGAAGCTAAATAAAGAAAAATAAAGAAAGAAGCTTGTTGGAAACTACCTGCTGAATCTATCTTACTTCATCATCAAGTGTAAGTGTGTGTGTGTGTGTGTGTCTTTTTCCCTCCTTCTTTTTATTTTCAGATGCTTTGCCACTACAGTGGAAAGCCAACACTAGAGCCAATGGCCCTAGTCAACATTTACATGGTAGACGTACGCCCATGCCAGGAAGCTACCAGCACTGGCCAACACCAGTAATTTAATTTTGGCCCCTCAGTTCTCCACTATCAGTGGAAGACACAGTTGGGAACCACCAGTTCCAGCCTGGAAAATTACCCTCAGAAAAAGTCTGCCGGGTCACTAGCCAGGTGGCAGCCGTGTACGCACTGACCCAGTTTGTCCCCAGCTGAAATGTCGAAGCTGGTCTTCGACATAGCAACTCATTCTTACACATTTTAGCTTTTGCAAATAGTGCTACTGTGAATATGGGTGTCCAGCAATCCTTGTCCAGGGGCAGCTTTCAAGTATCCTGAGTGGATGCTGAGAAGTAAAAATGCTGTGTCATAAAGTAACGCTGCGTTTAGCTTTGGGAGCAAGTGTTCTCCAAAGCACTGTTCCTCTACACCTTACTCTCAGTGCGGCTCAGTGCGGCCATCCTTGCAAACCCTGCCCTCTGTCTCTAGCCATCCTAATGCATACGAAGGAGGCCACTGCCACTTTGGAGCTTCTGTCACTCGCCACGGAAACCAACTCTAGTTTACGCTGAGCCCCACCCACAAAGCAAAGCTTCCTGCGGCTGTAAACCTTGGCCAGGAGTCAGAATCAATTGGCAGACATGGAAGGTGCCGTGTGTAACCTCTGTGTTCTCAGACTTGAAAAGGCTGGAAGCACAACCAGACCCAACCAAAACCCCATGCCAGCCCAAGAGGGCCGTGCAGCTTGCATCTCCCAACTAGTTCTACCTTTCATGATGCCAAGGGGCCATTTCTCTTTATGTGGATTCAATAGGTCCAGAACTTGTTTTTCAAATGGGTAATTATCTTTGAGAATAATATTGTTAACAAAAATCTGATTTTCTCATGGCTTTTTCCTGCTAGAAACATCTAAGAGTCTCTGCAGCTTAACACCATGTTTGATAATGAGCACAGCAACACAGCCTCATGAGTAATTTTCATGCTATAAAGATCCGTCTAGATATATTAAAAAGAAGTGATTTCATTTTGCAAAACTAATGATAAGAATTCCCATATTCATATCAATGAGTTCATAAAGTAAAAACATGCTCTGTTTTCCATTATCTAGTTGTTTATGTAAATTAGTTTTGTTTCCAGTAGTTGGGATAATTGACTGTATTCATCACTGTATTTTGGTGCTTTTCCTTGTTCCCATGGTTCTTGTTTACTGTGTTCCTTAGTCTTTGCTGCATTGAAAACATGACTGTGAGATTATTCACATTCCAGATGCTACCCAAAGCATGGCTAGCATGTTTTGGGCCTCGAGGCTTGTGTTTCCATTTTCCTCATGACTCTCACCTGGCTTTGGCTACTCACCAGTTTACCTTGAGAATGAAAAATCAAATTTGGCTTGCAAGTGGGTGAGTCAGTGTGTGAGTGTATATGTGAGTGTGTGTGTGTGTGTGTTCATGAGTGACAATGAGTGTAGATTGTATGTGTGTCCGTGAATGAGGATGAGTGTGTGTTCATGAATGACAGTGAGTGTAGGCTGTGTCTGTGTGTTTTATAAAGATTTTTAAATCCCACTGAGGCAACATGTCAAACTTCTCCATGGGTCAAGAGCAGCGAATCAGTCAATGAGATACCTAAATCCACAGCAGCATGTGAAGAGCTGCGCCATGGTAGCCGCACACTCAGAACCAGAGGAATTGATAGAACCAGGAAAACTCAACATGGCTGTTCCAATATGAGGGCTCACAGAAGTCATGTTCATCCAGATCACAGCAGAGACAGCCATAAGGGGACCCAGAACATGCTGGCAGGCCTTCGGGCTGCCTTGGGTATGTGAGCCACGTGGCGCTGTGCATGCATTTAGTACCACCTGCCAGCCTGTGCCAGCTGATTAAGATGGTGTTTTCACACCGTGAGCACTTCACCACCCCATCAAATGAAGGAGGGACACTGGCCCATCCAAATGGAGTAAGCAGCTTAGTGTGGCATCGTGTGGCCTACAAAATCCAGAAGGGGAAACTAAGGGTGTGCAGCCCAGCTGGAAGATAGCATGCCCAGAATTTGCAGAGCCCTGGATTTGATCACCAATACCAAAGGGAAACACACCTACGATCCCAGCACTTGGCAGGTGGGGGCAGGAGGATCAAAAATCCAAGGTCCTGCTGGTCGGTGGCGGTGCATGCCTTTGATCTCAGCACTAGGGCTGACAGATCTCTGTGAGTTCGAGGCCAGCCTGGTCTACAAAGTGAGTCCAGGACAGCCAAGGCTATGCAAAAACAAACCCAGTCTTGAAAAAAAGAAAAATCCAAGGTCACCCTCAGCGGTAGCACCAAGGCCAAGGCTAGCCTGCGGCCATGTGCTAGCCTGTGCTTGCTGAGACACCAGCATCATCTGAGGGAGAGCCTGTGGCTAAGCCACCCTCTACAGGAATCCAGTAATGGACTTTCCACGACCCTTTTCTGAAGCCTGTAGCGCAGGACAAGAAAACCTCTGCGGGAGCCTCTCTCAAGGCTTACTCCGCACAAGATACGGAGGTTCGGGTCCCTTCTTGCGAACTGGTTTCTATGGCTCAGCATCAGAAACAGAAAGACTGGTGGACTTAATAAGCATCCAGCTCTCACGTAAACATTCTCATTATGCTTCACCGTAACTTTTATTGTGGATATTGCAGCTTGACAACAAGCTTTAAAGTGTACACAGCCATGCATTCAACATGCTTCCCAGGTGTCACCCAGGACACCGTGAAGACAGTTAGACTTGGTGCCTGTGGATCTGAATTCCGTGTCCAGCACAGTCATTCTTGGCATGAGTGATCTTCCCCAGACCCCTTCCCAGGTAAATGACCCAGCTGTTCTATCACACTGGGACATCTCAAAAGCAGGGTACTGCACCAACCATTACGGTGCTCTTCTCCCAAAAGCCAAGTTAGGAAGTCAACGTAGGTGTCCAACAACGAAGGGACGGGTGGAGAGAGTGTGGTAAAGACACACAGACATATATATGAAATACATATAATGTATACGCATTTTCAGCCTTAGAGAAAGTTAGGTTGTTCTCAGGAAAAAATGGATGATCACATTAAGCCAATTAAGCCAGTTTCCAAAAGCTAGTATATGTTTTCTCTCATTTGTGGTCCTATATTTTATACAGTTACTATATATATATATATATATGAAGTAAAAGAAATGAAATTGTGTAGGGAAAGGGAGGTGAGTGGAAGGGAGGAGAGATACGAAAAGGGAAAGTAGAAGGATCCAGAGAGGAATGTGGTTAACGTACAATATATTCCTATATGAAAATTAAATTGAAAAAAATTACGGAGTCAAATAAATCGGTCATGTGAAAGCACGTATTCTGAAATTCCAGAACCGACAGAAGTAATGTCTGCTGACATAACCATCCAAACTGGGCGCTCTGGGAACTCGGAGACGGCAGCTCGCGGGTGTTGTAAACCACCTTGCTTATTTGGTGTTGGCTCAAGGTGAGCACCTAAAACTCAAACCACAGGACTGAAATCTCCATGTTATATCTAACATCCCAAAACACATGAAAAGTAAGCAAAACTATGTCCTGGGAATCGGAAAAGGACATCGAACTGGAAGGTGGGTATCTTCGGGACCCGCGCATCCTTACGCCCCTCTCTGCAGGACAACCTACACCTGCCCCACGCCTCCCGCCCCGTCCCGCGCCGGGCGGGCCTCAGTTTCGCTGACCGCGCCCCTTACTTGCTCCGGAACTCGTCGAGGGCGCGCTGCGCCTCCGCCTCCTGCCTCTCCAGCCGCGCGCGCTCGGCGGCCAGGTCCCGGGCGCGCTGCAGATTGGCCTCGATGTGGCGGGCGAGCGCGTCCTCGGGCCCGGGCTGCTCGCCCAGGCGCTGGAAGGCGTCGAGCTGCCGCCGGAGGCCGGCGTGGCGCTGCTGGAGCGCGCGGGCCCGCTGGACCTGGGCGGCCACGCGCTCGCCCAGCGCCTGCAGCGCCGCCAGGCCGGGCGCGGTTCCCCCGGGTTGGGCGGCGGGGCCCGCGGGCTGGGCGCGCTCGTAGCGCTCCTGGCGGGCCTGGAAGACGTAGCTGCGGCGGTACATGGCTCCCGGGAGGCCGCGCCCTGCTCCGCGCCTGCTAAATAACCGGGCGCTCCGTGCTGGGACTTTCCAGAGCCGGTCAGCAGACGTGTCCTCGGGGCGGGAGCCCAACAATGGGGAGCCGCGGCCGCTTTGTGTGCTGGATTAGCCGTCCATACAGCTCCGGGATGGAAGGGGCAGCGGGCGAGGATCGCTTTGTTTGGCCGTTGTGGAGCCGGTGGCCCTGTGACAGGATGAAGGGTCAGGGGGACAAGAGACGCATGATGCTCTTTTGACTGGTTCCCCTGGGCACTGTGTAGGGGACCAAAAGCCAGCTTGCAGCAGAGCCTGGCGCTTTCTCCTGTCCCTTCTAGCTCTCGTTATGGAATTTAATAACTCCGGTTTAATTTGTTGTTTTCAGGTTTTTTAAGCCATTATAAAAAGTCTGTTATGTTAGGGTTGAGATGTGTTTCTAGTGATTTCTTACTAATATTTGTGTGTGTGTGTTTGTGAAGAATCTACAACATGTACAGTGACTTAGGAAACAAAATTAGTGACACTGGATTCTTGCCTTTGCTCTTTCACCAAGGAGTTGAGAGTAGGTGCTCTGAACTTAAAAGAAATCCTTGCAGTCTGAAGATTTGATAAACTATCCAGCCCTCAAATACATATTTCATTATGCTTCATTTTAACTTTTATTATGGAAATAGCAGTTGTGCTTGAAAACAAGCTTTAAAATATATACATTCACACGATTTGATAGCAAGGCTTTGAAAAATAAGTACATTGCAGCCAATCCTGATGAGATCTGATAAACTTGGGCCAGATGGAAGGAGAGGAGGACCTCCCCTATCAGTGGAGTTAGAGAGGGGCAGGGAGGAGATGAGGGAGAAAGGGTGTGATTGGCAGGAAGTGAAGGAGGGGGCTACAGCTGGGATACAAAGTAAATAAACTGTAATTAATATTAAAAAAAATTTTTTAAAAATTCAAAAGTAGAATGTGATGTTGAAAATAATGAACTGAAGCTGGGTGGTGGTGGCTCACGCCTGTAATCCCAGCGCTCGGGGAGGCAGCACAGGCAGGCGGATCTCTGACTATAAAGTGTCCAGGACAGCCAAGGCTACACCGAGAAACCCTGTCTCAAGAAAGGAAGGAAGGAAGGAAGGAAGGAAGGAAGGAAGGAAGGAAGGAAGGAAGGAAGGAAGGAAGGAAGGAAGG